ATTGGATTAAAATCATGTTTATAGAAATCCGCGATTTAATGTTTTATTGACATCACACTATTGGACCCTTAGTAAGTGTCGAAGTCGACCATCTCGTCTCTCCTTCTTCGAGATTTAGGAGGGATACTCATTAGGTACACGTTGTTTACGTACTCATACTCACTTCTGTGCAATTTTTTGTTGTCACAGTGTATATGTAACTCTAGCGGCCTACTGGGCGTAGCAGCACGGATGATTCTGGGACTAGGTGAGCTGCATTATTCGAGACGGCTGCAGCTAGTACAGTCCCTTCCAGTATACTGTATTTACTTCCGGTCCACTGTATTCCGGACGGATGTTGTATTTTATTTCCTTGTCAGTAGATGCTCATGCACTTGTTACACCGGGTTCTGGGAGGATTTTTGGATTATTAAATGTTAAGTTTGTTAAAGATTACGCGGTTGTTTCCGTAAATTTTATTATTCGTTATTTATTGTGTAAAGAAAAACGATTTTGACAATACAAAAATGGGAATTTAATTGAGTATTGCTTGTATTGCTTCCTTGAATTTATTAAAGTTGTGATGCCTCTTTATGGCTTGAGAATATTTGGATAAATAATGAAAAGGAATTTTGAAAATTTCCTATAAAAGAAAATAATTGTTCACTTGTTTCCTTCTATTGGATTAAAATCATGTTTATAGAAATCCGCGATTTAATGTTTTATTGACATCACACTATTGGACCCTTAGTAAGTGTCGAAGTCGACCATCTCGTCTCTCCTTCTTCGAGATTAGGAGGGATACTCATTAGGTACACGTTGTTTTCGTACTCATACTACACTTCTGTGCATTTTTGTTGCACATGTATATGTAACTCTAGCGACCTACTGGGCGTAGCAGCATGGTTGATACGGAGACTTAGGTGAGCTGCACTTCTTGAGGCGACCCGCAGCCAGCAGAGTCTCTTCCGGTTATCTGTATTTATTTCCTGTGCAATATTGTATTCCGGACGGTTGTTGTATTATATTATTTCTTAGAAATTGCTCATCCACTTGTGACACCGGGTTCTGGGATGAGTTTTGAAATACTTTGTATTAATTGCTCATTATTTAATTTGAATTGAAGCAGTTATCCTTTTTACCTATGAAATTGGGAGAAAAATCTTGGTTTTCAAAATTGTTAAAATTGGAATCTAATTAGGTATTTTAGTTGGCTTGCCTGACAGCGGTGTCCGGTACCACCACGACCCTTAGTGGATTTTGGTTCGTGACCGGCATTCTGTCATTTCCAAGTTGCAGCTCTTCTATTTTCTCTCTTGGTGACACGTGTCGCAGTATTTAGGCATCTGATACAACTGGCCTCCACACATTTTCATATCACTGACTCTACCTATCTCACTTCTTCTTCCGAGCCTCAGTCTCAACTCCGACCTTTGTATCGTAACAAAAAGCAATAGATTTGAGTGTAGCTTTGGGTCTTTACGTTGTCGGCGACAAACGGTAAGCGTTCATATATTGAAGCTTGGTACTACCATCTTTGTTCTTTTTCTATCCTTATCTCATTATAATTTTACTATATTTTCTTGTTTCATTCTCAATTTAGACCCACATATTTTCCATCAAGTTGATACCAAATGCAGCAAAAAATCTTTCTTTTCCCTTCTGCTTCCCTGACTCTTGCAAGCATTATGGATTCTATAAAATTTTCTCCTTTTTCTGCTCTATTTTTGGGTCGTTTTTTGGAATAATGCTAATTTTATGTGATATTAGTAGATTATCTCTTGGTTGGTTGATATTTTTTTATTCTTCTTCAGCTTCGGTAAAAAAAATGGGGTTTTTGCTTTTGGTTGTTTCTGGGTGAATGAATGCTAATTTTTTTCCTTTAAAGATTTTGTATTTTGCATGGTTTTGATTGTCATAGATTAGCTCTCAATTGTGCTTGTCATGAAGTCTAATGCTATTTCAACTACGTAATTTTTTTGTTTATTACATTTTATTCATTTAATTTGGAGGAATACTATATGCTAATTTTTGTTAAAAAATATTTTTCTTTCTTTTGGATCTTTCGAGTTAGCTAGATCAGCTGAGATCATTTTGTATGCATGTGCTATTTAGTGACAATATTTTGTCAGTTTCATTTCAGAAATTAAGCGTAAACCAATAAATAGCAGAACTTTCTAAAGTTTTAATAATATACCCTCTTTCAAATGTATATTTTAATATCTTCTTTGTAAGTGGCTTCTTACATATGCTTGTTTTTCTTAGTTGAAAATTGATTTTGCATTAACTAACATTTGCAAATCAAGTGAAGGTAATAAAGTACCTTTGTTTTACCTTTTTGAAATAAAAATAATTTATAATGTGCTATAGCTGCTCTTAATCCACCCTGCTTCTTGTGCAGCTTGTCTACTCATGGTCTTTGTAGTTGTAGTATGTCACGACCCAACCCCGGTCGTGATGGCGCCCAACACACTGCCGGGCAAGCCCGACCATTTCTACGATCGTAACCGATTTAATCACAGTGAATAAGTAAATTTTCACAACTAAAATACCAAATTAAATGCGAAATCCTGAATTAGATGCCAACATTCGAAAACCCAAAATATAAACTACTAACCAGCCCACAGAATCTGGTGTCACAAGTCTGAGCCTCTAATGCATGAGTATTAACCTACTACATAATGTTTTTCTAGAAATGTGGGAAAACAAATAAATAAAATAGAATGAAGATCAGGATTGCGCACGCCAATTTGCAGCTACCTTGAATCTCCCGAATGTGATGCTAGGCGGAGAAGATCTCACTCAGCCTCAGTGGGTGCACCTGAATCTGCACACAAGGTGCAGGGAGTATTGTGAGTACTTCCAACTCAGAAAGTAATAAATATAAATAAAGTCTGAGGATAAGAAATCCTAAATAAACACAAAGCAAAGCTATTAATACAACAACGTGAACCAATAACATAATACAGTAAACATTGAAAACAATTATAATAAGGTCACATCAGATTAAGAATAAATGACAATTAAATATGCAATGCAACACATAAACTGGTACTCTCCAGTACCCTGCTGCGGCGTGCAGCCCGCTCCATTTATTTAGCGTCGACGGCGCTCACTGGGGGTGTGCAGACTCCGGGAGGGGCCCCTTACGGCCCAAGCGCAATAATAAGCCATCTCGTGGCCTTAATCAGGCCCTTGGCCTCATAACAATATCATTATTATACCACTGCGGCGTGCAGCCCGATCCCATACTCAGTCCAAAATCACATAAGCCTTTCGGCACAATAATATAAAAATATTCAGCCCAAACTTCATTTAAAAATATTACTTTAGTTTCTACCTTTAGAAAAATGGCTGAGTTTACAAAACAGTGTTAAATACTAGGACTGAGTTCAATATCTAGAAATATGGTAAGAAACCAGTAAAATAATCCCTGAAGGATTCAAGTAGTTGGCACGAAGCCCAATTATGACAATTAATCCATTTTTATAAGGATATTACAAAACTACAATCAATTAGGTAGTAATTTTATTAAGCGGGACGGACCAAGTCACAATCCCCGACGGTGCTCTACCCCACGCCCATTATCCGGCGTGCAAGTCACCTCACATAGCACTACGTTGTGCAAATTCGGGGTTTCAAACCCTCAACACAACATTTATTACTAACCTCAAGCCGGCCAAAGTCCTAGCTTGCTATGCCTTTGCCTTTCGAATTAACCTCCTCGCGTACCGAATCTGATCAAAATCACAACGAATACATCACAATATGCTAATGGGACAATACCCAATCGAAAACAATCGAAAAATAGTGAAATTCCCGAAATTAGCAAAAATCCGAGCCCCGGGCCAACCTCTCGAAATCAGTAAATTTACCATCAACGGATTCCTTATTTTGCCACGAGTCTAGACATATAAAGAACACCAAAATCGGATTCCAAATGACCCCTCAAATTCCCATTTTTGTTCTCTTAGGTTTCAAGCCCTAACCTCCATTTTTGAACTTTAATTCCTTGATTTTTCAGTCTAATTTCATGTATTTGCATCATAAAATCGTGTTCTAAGTCCAAGAATTCTTACCTGATCGAAGTCCTTGAATTCCTCTTTAAAATCGCCCAAAAACTCTTCAAGTCCGAAGTGAAAAATATGAACTCTTTCAAATTTCGCGAAGGAATAAAAACCCCTTTCTGATCAGTTGTTTCCGCATCTGCGGTCCAGTTGTCGCTTCTGCGACTTCCGCTCCTGCGGCCTTCTTCCGCTTCTGCGGAAATTCCCAAAGTCCCCACTGTCCGCTTCTGCGACCTCATCCTCCGCATCTGCGGTTCTTCCTTTCCAAGACCATTTCCGCACCTGCGACCTTTTCCTCCGCATCTGCGCAACCGCATCTGCGGTTCCTTTCCGCAGATGCAGAAATACCAGATACCAGATGTGATCTGCAATCTCCAACTTCAATTTTCATCCCGTTAGCCATCCGAAATCACCCCGAGGCCCCCGGGACCTCAACCAAAAATACAAATATGATCCAATGGCTTATTCAAACTTGCTCCAATCATCAAAACACCTCAAACAACACTAAAACCATCATTTCTCATCGAATTCAAGCCTAAGTTCTTCCAAAACTTCCGAAACACGCATTCGATCAAAAATCCTACCAAAACACCTTCGAATGACCTGAAATTTTGCACACACATCCCAAATCACCTAACGAAGCTACTGAAACTCTCGGAATTCCATTCCGACCCTCGGATCAAAATCTCACCTATCAACCGGAATTCGCCAAAATTCTAACTTTGCCAATTCAAGCCTTACCGCGGACCTCCAAAATCACTTTTTATCACACTCCTAAGTCAAAAATCATCCCCCGAAGCTAACCAAATCATTGGAATTCATATCCGAACCCTCTAACACAAAAGTCAACGTCCGGTTGACTTTTTCCAAAACAACCTTCCTTAAAGAGACTAAGTGTCTCATTTCCTTCTAGAACCCATCCAAATCAACTCTAACACATCAAATACTGATAAGGAAGCATAAATAAATGGAAAAATGGGGGAAACAGGGCTGTAACACACGTGACGACGGGTTGGGTCGTCACAAAGAATAATCTTGATCCTAATTAAAGTTGACAAGTGAAGAAGCATCTCAAAGAAAGTAAGTTACTTATTTGAGTAAGTTTTGGATTTAAATATATTTTATTTACTGAGATACCAGGAAAGAGTTTATTGAAGTTCAACGAAGAAACTCACAGAAATAATTCAAAGAATATCATGTCGTTCTTGCAAGACATATTGGGGGTTCAACTATAATGGTAAGCTAAAATAAACAATAGTCATCTTATACAAAGTAGCAATATAATTTTGTAATATCTTGTACTTAATTAATGTAGGGACGTCATTGACTACAAGGTTCAAAATGTCATATAGATTAATCTACCTTTTCCACAATGTCTGTACAACTACATTTAAGGTATTACACTACTCCCTGCTCATACATATATTGTTCTTGTTTCTTTCTTATTATTAATCTTCAAAAGTTTCGTGTTTTTTTTTTCATGGACAGAATCATGGAAGACGGAAAAATGCTTGTCTCTTTCACCATGAGTAGTTCATCAAAATTTGAATCTTTCATCCTTGTTTCAATGGATGAAGACATAATACTAGATTTTAACCTGAACCTTTCGGTTCTTATCAACACAGTATTTTAGTCATATACTATTACAGGTTTGATGTTGATTTCCAAGATGCCTCCGGCTCAGAATTCATCGGGAGACCAAGGCAAAACAGAACAACTTTGAAGTTCAAGATTGTTATTATTCCTTTTAAATTTCAAGAATCTGTTTGTTTGATGTGTTTCATGATTGATGTCAGAGAATGCTGCAGTTGATGCTCAACAAAAAGGAGAAGCTGCTGGAATGCAGATGGTGTTAAAGAAAAAAACAACATAATCACTGATGGTGAAAGTAAAGATTATTATGAGAAACCTGCAGCTTTACCTACTTATGACCCTTCAACAGCTAAAGAACCTCACCTTGAGAACTATGAAGATGGCAAAAGAGGTTATTTTCACTAAAGTTTCTTGGTTATGGAATTAGCTTCTCTTCTGCAGTAGTATTTGTTTTATGGTAGTTGTATTTTACTTAGAGAACGCCATTCAAATCTTCAATGCAGATGAAATAAGAGAGACGCAGCTTAAGCATCCTTTTCAATGTACAAGATTTCAAACAGCTGCAAATGATTTAGTGAGTCAACTCACTGATATTGAAACGCATAATTTTGATCAACCTATGGACTCAGTTTTGGAGGGGAAGGATGATCTTCATGACCAACCATATAACCAGGAAGGTCAGTAACTTCCCCTGTCATCTTAGAACCTAATTATACCCTTAGCTATATTTAATCTGCTTGTGTATTCCATCAAACAAAACTTAAGTTTTTGATTGTACCTTATGTTTGATAGTGGAAAAGATATATGGACACCATTAGATTAGAACCTAACTATATTCTTGTACGTGTTCCTCCTCCTTTTGTTGCTCTCTTTCGCGATTATATGACAAGGACATATACAAATTATATATATATATATATATATATATATATATATATATATATATATATAGAGAGAGAGAGAGAGAGAGAGAGAGAGAGAGAGAGAAAGAGAGATAAGTAATTCAGAAAAATAAAACCCTTTGAAGGTTCTAAATGGTAAAACTTACAACAGGTGAGGCAGAAGAAAGTTTACCTCATGATGAAGTTTTAAAGACCGATGCAGGTGAATCCTCAAGTGTTGCCGGTGAGACAGTAGAATAATGCATCATATCATCATCACTTGAAGAACAAGAAACTACAAGGAATGGAAGATCAGGCCAGAATGAAGATAACCGACATTGGTTAAGGCAGCAAAGAAAGAACTCTTTTGATGCACCAAAGAATAAATATGAGTTACCAACTGAACAAGGTAAATCGTTGAAAATGAAACAAAAACTGGAGTAAACGACTCCATTGAGAATGAAATGAAGGTCACCAACAAATTGCGCTTTGTTATTCTTTCTGCAAATATATATTTCAACTTTTTTTTTTCAAAAACTTTGTTATACGATATTATGCCTGAGGGAAAAAACTTGACATAAATATATAGGTTCTTCTACTGCCACTTTCTTTTCGTCTTTCAACATTTTGTGACCTAATTTAATGTCTTGTTTGTGAAAATATTTGCAGGTAAAGCAAGTCCCTACTGCAGCTCACCCTTGAATTTTTGGCTTGTATATATTGCTGTGATATAACATAAGGTAAACATTTTGCTTATCTGCTTGTGTATCTTTTCAAGTTTAGTACACAATCACTATTCCGTCTTTTTTATAGTTAGGAACATTCTGAATAGTAAAATAGGCAATTTTATCTTAGAGACAGGATTTTAAGACAATAAAATACTGAAGAGGTTGGACATTACCACTTGATATCACATAAAACTATACATTTTGAAAGGAATTTTATCAGTAGTAAAACAGTTTTAAAGCTTAACATTGATTGTATTGTATTAGAAGCATTGGGCTTACATTGGCGCCTAAAATCTTTACTATAGAATTTGCTGCTCACTTTGATTCTCTTTTTCAGTTTGTGTTGGAAGGATTGTGTTAATTACAAATGTTTCTATTATTCAATGCCTCTTAATTATTTTAAGATTTTATCCCTCCTCTCTGTGAACAATAAATGTATTTTCTTAGTACATCATTTTCATAGTTAGAGTAGAGAAGTCATCACCAAGTAATTGATTAAACTTCTGATAGTTCACCGATCCCTTGTGTCAAAAGTCAGACATGTTGAACTACATATTAGAATTGTTATTTTATAATGCCTCAAGTATGTATATCATTTTCGTTATTTTTTTTTTTGAAGAATTAGATTATGTGTATTGCTTGCAATGTGGATTATGGTTTGTCTAATAGAAACATTCTGCATTTGCTTCTTCAGTAATGCTTAAACTCTCTAACTGCAGGTTCTAATCCTTTTGTTCAGTACTATTGCAAAAGAATGTTTATAACAACAAAGGTCTGTGGAATAATCGACTTTCAAGAAGGATACAAAGTATGAAAGAATTTACTATGTTGCAAGTACATATTTCATATCTTTTTAGCAATCTTTTACAAATATTTTGTTCCTCAATGGATGTTTATAGTGTGAAGCAACAACTGTTCACGAGCTGCTGGTACTGCGACCTCCCCTGCAACCTTATATAGCAACCACGTGTTGTGTACATGTCTGTAGCTACTTTACTCATCTTTAGTGCTGATTGAAAATCATCAAAAGCTATTCGAGAAAAAGAATCACAAAGTATCAAGGTGATCTTCTTCCATATTTCCTTTTTGATCCTCTGTTTGACTCTTTTTTTCAAATTATTTTTCTATTTGTTCGTCTCACTTCAAAAAGGTAAAATCTTTCTTACGTTTCTCCATCTGGGTCTCTTTTTATAATTGTATTTGATTTATATTTGATTCTCCCCTGCTGGGAATTGGTATGAACGGAGGTAATATTATTATTATGCCTCTATCTTTAATAACTGCAGATTGTTACTGCAAATCCTAGGAAGCCCGACAATGTGACATAACTTCAGGCAACATGGTGGTGAATCTTTCGTCAAACGATGGATGGACAACCCTAAGTTGTTGTTCGTCATCCAGTTTCTCCTCCATCACCATCTGTTAGTTCAGCTGTTCCAGCAACAGATAAAAAAGAGACAATTTTTTGTTAGACTTGATAATTTAGCTACCCTTAATGTTATAAGGAGTGTTTTGTAATGACTATTAAATTTTTTGTTATGATAATATCTGAATCCCTTATTACCAAAAAATAGTATGAAGCAGCGACGCTTCCTTTCTCAGCAGTCTTGCTAAACGTCTCAACATTAAATTTTCATGGCAATCTTTTAGCTGGACAAATCATCCCAAAACTGAGATTCAAGCTCCTTAAGATGTATCTATTATAATAACATCTACTCAAAAGAAAGCAAAAATTTGACATTTTTGGGCTACAAATAGCTAATTGGCTAATATTGGTAATATTTGGCTAATATTAGTAATATTTTTTGAATTGGTTAATTTTTGTAATAACCTACTTGTAAATGAATATAACCGGTAGTTTTCCTATTTTATATTCTTACCCGATTTGACCCAATTTATATATAGCTTGATTTCTTTAATCCCTTTATCCCAATATTAAAGACCGACTTTTAATTGAAAATTTGAGTTGAGTCTTCAAACTTGAAGAACGTCGAAGCTCCATTGCTAAAATCTTTACTGTTGGGTTGGAAGAGTGTTTGACTTGGTGCCAGCTAACATGGGTTTTAAGAAGAGGGAGGAACACTTAGTCACTTTTCGGAGTAGGGTTGCCAAGACTCAGATTGATTTTCTTCTCCTCAGAAGAGGTGATAAGGGCCTTTTGTACGGATTGCAAGGTTATCCCGAGTGAGTGTCTGTCGACGCAGCATATATAGGCTCTTGTGATGAACTACGAGGTAAAGGGAGCAAGGAAGAAGAGAGCGGTGTACGGCCAACCTAAGATCAAGTGGGGAGCCTTGACTAAGGGAAAGGCTCAGGAGTTGGGGGAGAAGCTGTTGGCTATAAGGGCCAGGAGGAGTAGTGGGGACGCAAGTAGTATGTGGACCACGACAGCGAACTACGTTAGGGAGGCTGCTAGGGAGGTATTAGGGGTCTCGAAGGGTTACTCGGATGGCCACAAAGGGGACTGGTGGTGGAATAGGGAGTTCCAAGGAAAAGTGAAAGCTAAGAAAGCGGCGTATTTGAAGCTAGTGGGGAGCACGGACGAAGAAGAGCGGAGGTCGTATAGGGAGTGTTATAAGAAGGCAAGGAGAGAGATGAAGCTCGCGGTCATGGCGGCTAAGACTGCAGCTTTTGAAAGATTGTATGAGGATCTTGGGGGCTAGGGGTGGGCGTCGGTCGGTTCGGTCGGTTATTATAAAACTACGGTTCGGTTTATCGGTTTTCGATTTTGTAATATTAATAACCAAATCAAACCAAAGTATTTACGGTTCGGTGCGGTTTTTTCAAGGTTCGGTTCGATTATTTCCGGTTTAGTATTTCGGTTATTAATGATTCAAGATTTTGATTACTACAGCAAGTTGCTGAAACATGTTGGTTTTAGGCTGGCATTAGGTATTAATTTTCAAACAAGACTGCAATTCGAGTTTGATGCAAGATAGGTTAAGAAACCGTTCTTTGTTGTCAATTCAATGTCAATCTCTTTATTTTCTAAATTAAGATTTACATACTCAGAATTACATTAAGAAAATAAAGTTCTATCTATTCTAAAAAGACTTATGGACAGGAATTATATTATCTAATTTTTTTCTTAATTGGATATCTAATTCCACATCCTGAGAATCCAAAGTTATGGACTGTCTGCAAGCAGGAAACTAGTATTAAGATTAAACCCTTGTCAGCATTGGCTTCTATATATGGGAGAGAAAATAGAGCAGAAATGCGTGGAGAAGTTACAGGTAAACAACGCGAAAGGTAGAGATGTTATGAAACGGATGTGTAAGTACTTAGAAGCTGAATCCAGTGGCATTTCAGTGTGACCAAGTACTTGAATAACTTTATGTTAGTCTTCTTCGGTGAGTAACATGTTTGGGTATGAGTCCAAAATTTTGGTTTTTCGGTTTAACCGAAAACCGAAACACCAAAATCGTCAACCGCACCGAAAAAAGAAATTTAATAATTTAAAAACTGCACACCGACCGAATAATCGTTTAAACTGAATCGAAAAATCGAAATTCACGGTTTGACCAATTTTTTCGGTTCTGCCGGTATTATGCCCACCCCTATTGGGGGCAAAGGAGGGGATAGAAAGCTGTACAAGTTAGCCAAGATTAGGGAGAGGAAGGCTCGGGACTTGGATCGAGTGAGGTGCATCAAAGACAGAGATGGTAAGGTATTGGTGGAAGAGGCGTGTATCAGGCGTAGATGGCAAGAGTACTTCCATAGACTCTTAAACGAGGAAGGGGATAGGAACATCGTGCTGGGTAAGGGTGGCATGTGGGTCGGTTAGGACCGGGCCCGTCCCAGGACCGCGAGCCCAAATAGGCGGTGGGCCTAAACGGTCCTAACCGTTTGGGACCGGGACCGAAGGGGGTGGGCTTTGAAGTGGGCCGGTCTTGTGCTTCAAGCCCGCGAGATCGGGACCGTTTGGGACCGGGACCGGCTTGGAAGTGGGCCGGTTCAACCGGTCCTAATCGGTCCTAAACGGGCCCGACTTTAAAAAAAAAAACTGCCCGTTAAGGCTTTAAGATCTAGCCGTTATTTCTGCCAAAATAGCCATTGGCTATTTATAAAATAGCTATTTAACCCCCCTCCTCTCCCACCAACTTTGTTTTAACCCCAAATTTTTTATAATTATACTTTTTCCCTATTTTCAACTACAAATACCCCCTCATTCTTTCATATTTCTCACAAAATCATCAATCTCTCTCTAATTTTCTTCTATAATTGCTTACTTTATTATTGCAATTTGTGTGAAAAATTGAGAAGTTGGTGAATTGAAGTATTCAAGTCTTCAAGCTTCAACGATAATTAATTTTCAACAAGTTGTTCGTCAATTCGGTAAACTCATTCCAACTCTTAAGTTTTAATATTATAGTTTTATTTTGTTTTATTTACTTTGTATTGTTTGATTAATTAAGATGGATTTTTCGTTAAAAAAATATTTAGTAAAAACAAGGAAAAATCCAGGAGTGGTGAATCTAGTGGCCAATCTATTCCTCCTCCAATTCCCCGGGCTCCCCTACCCAAACCCCATACCTGTCCTCCACCTGCTCCTATTTTTGATAGTGATAATACTTTATTACAATTTACTGATAGTCAATATTTGCATAATGTTGGAGGTGGTGAATAACTAAACCATGAATATATGAATGCTCTTTATGGTGATCCAACTATTGATGAAAATGATGAGGAAGAAATAGATTTTGATGAAACGCAACCGGATGACGATACACCCACTAGTCCTGTTGCTGAAGTTGACCCAACTAATAATAATCCAAATGATGCCCCATCTGACCCTCCTGTTACTACTCCTACTTTTTCTAGACAACCTTCTAAACGGAGCGAAACATCTCTTGTTTGGTCATTTTTTATTCAACTAAGAGAAAAAAATAGGGTCAAGTGTAAAACTTGTGGCAAAGAGTTAGCTTTTAAATATGTTGGAGATTGGGGGAGAGGGGGCGGGAAGTTTGAGGAGACACATAATGCTACACCCTCAAGATAAAGTTAAATATCTTCGTATGAAGCTTCGGCCGAGGGGACAAGTGTACCTAGTCAGGCTGACCTTAGTACCGGGTCAAATCAATTTCAACCGGGAATTAACACTGTTACCGGTGGTATTTTATATTATGATCCAAGAAAAGGTCGGGAAGAATTGGCAAAAATGATTACTGTTATGTGCTTACCCTATATTTTTCCTTCTAACCCTCACTTTGTGCATTATATTAGAAAAGTTTTTAATCCTACTTATAAAGGATGGCCTCACGCAACCGTAAAGAGTGATATTTATAAATATAAACATGAATATGAATAATATTTGCGCTATTTATTTACTCATATAAATTGTCGTGTTGCTATTACTACTGATATTGGTAGAAGTGGTAATGACTGTGATTATCTTACTGTTACCAGTCATTGAATTGATGAGGGTTGGAGAACTTAGAGAGTTAGAGAGATTTTGGGTTTTGTAGGCGTATTAAATGCGAGGAGGTTGATGTGGCAATACGGAAGATGAGCAGGGGTAAGGCGACTGGGCCTGACGAGATCTCGGTGGAATTTTGGAAAGTAGCGGGTAGGCTTGGCTTGGAGTGGCTTACTAGCCCGTTTAACATCATTTTCAAGACGAAGAAGATGCCCGAAGATTGGAGGTGGAGTTTGATGATTCCGTTGTACAAAAACAAAGGTGATATCCAGAACTGCAACAACTATAGAGGTATCAAGCTACCGAGTCACACTATGAAGGTTTGGGAGAGGGTGGTGGAGCAGAGAGTGAGGATAGGTGTATCTATCTCTGAGAACTAGTTCGGATTTATGCCGGGACGGTCAACTACAGAAACCATCACTTTGTGAGACGACTGGTGGAGCAGTATAAGGAGAGTAAAAAAGGACTTGCACATGGTGTTCATTGACCTTGAGAAGGCTTATGACAAGGTCCCGAGAGAGGTGTTATGGAGATGTTTGGAGGTTAGCGGAGTCACGGTTGCGTACATTAGAGTGAGTAAGGACATGTACGAAGGTGCTAAGACTCGGGTGAGCATTACGGGAGGGGATTCAGAGCATTTCCCTATGGAGATGGGGTTGCATCAGGGATCAACCCTTAGCACGTTTTTGTTTGCCTTAGCGTTGGATGTGCTGACACGACACATACAAGGGAGGTGCCATGGTGTATGTTATTTGCTGACGACATAGTTCTGATTGACAAGAGGCGAGGTGGTGTTAATGCTAGGTTGGAAGTTTGGAGACAGACACTGGAGTCCAAAGGTTTCAAGTTGAGTAGGTCAAAAACTGAATACTTGGAGTGCAAGTTGAGTAATGAGAGGCAAGAAGAAGAAGTGGAAGTAAAGATTGATACTCAAATCATTCCCACAAGAGATAGTTTCAAGTATCTTGGGTATATAATCTAAGGCAACGAGAAAATTGACGAGGATATTACTCACCGCATTGGAGCGGGTTGGATGAGATGGAGGCTAGCTTCGGGGGTTTTATGCGATAAGAATGTGCTGCCTAAACTTAAGGGTAAATTCTACAGGGTGGTGGTTAGACCGGCTATGTTGTATGAAGTTGAGTGTTGGCCTGTCAAGAAGTCACATGTCCAGAAAAT